GCGGCCCTCCCTCAGCACTGACCCTCCGACCGTGCGGCCCTCCCTCAAGGATCTGGAAGGAAACTGGTGTTTGTTCTAAATTCCAGATTTACAAAGAAAACCGCTGTAAAATCTCCAAGCCTGTGCTGCCTGCTTCAACAATCGGACAATGGTATAGGAAGTACCAGGCTTTCAAATCACAAATCTATAATTAACAGCATTTGCAAGGCAAACATTTTATTCTGACAGATGTGTAATTTAATTCCCCACCGTATAGAATATATATACATATTTATTTGCAAATTTTAAACACACCATCCCAGAAATGATAGGGGAGGGACAGTGAGCTGCAGGACGACTCTCAGCACAGATTCAAGCCAATCACACGAGCCCCCGAGGCCATGGACGGTGAAGACTGGAAACTTTGACACTGGAAAAGTGATGCACGAGAGAGAGAGAGACTGTAGATACTCAGCCTCTCAGGTATAGTCAAGTCGAGATCAATATAATTCTGGCCACATGGAGGACCAAGCGATAGGGTTGGGAAATTGACAACAAGTACTGAAGAGCAGAACATGGCTCGAGAAGAGAAATGGCCTATTCCTGTTCTCGTTTCTGACGTACCTATCTAATATGGGGGGAGTAATAAGTGGATTGAAGCAGTATCTGATTCTCCTGGCGCCGATCTGTCCCACAGCGACACGCTCCCCCACGAGACCGATTCACAAGCCCACAGGCTGAGTCAGCGTCCCTCCCACTCCCCGACTGCTTCGCTAGCCCCTCTCGCAGATGACCTCGATGACGCTCTGCTCCATGGTGACGGGGTCCAGGCAGCGGTGGGCGGTGCTGGCGACAATCTCGTCCAGCAGGAAGTGCACCAGGTTCTCGTCCGAGACGAAGCGCCACAGGTACAGCTGCAGGTACTGACAGTCGACCTGGATCTGCTGCAACCCATAGCGGCCGAACGAGCGGAGGCGCACGCACTCCAGGAAGGTCTTCAGGCTGATCTTGATGATTCCTGTCAGCACGGAGACCTGCAGAGGAGGAGGAGGAGCAGAATTTGATGAGGACTGGCCTCCATTCACACAATCCCCACAGCACGTTCCATCCGGCAAGTTTTTGCAAACTTAAAGGGGATCATAGAATCCCGACTGGGTGGAAGCCGGCCATCTGGCCCATCAAGTCCACAACGACCCGCTGAAGAACACCCCCTACCCCATCACTGTAACCCTGCATATTCCACAGCCAACCCACCCTAACCTGCACATCCCTGGGCACTATGGGACAATTTAGCACGGCCAATCCACCCT